TTCTGAATTAATTGTAGCATCCTAAGGGATTTATTGGGGCAGCCTGGTAATAAGAATTGACCGTCTGCACCATTGCCACTGGGCTTCCCTCAGAATTCTATTCATGGCTACAGAAAAATTAGACTTGACCGCAAAAAGTCTGCTTTGTGTCTGGTAATACTTTAAGTGGGCGAGTTTTGGAAGCTGAATGATGATGATCATAGTATAGTAGAGTATGATGAATCAGCACCGTTGTTCCATTCTGTAACTCAAATGGTCGGTTCACCCAAACTACCAAAACCTCACTAATCAATACCTCTGCAAACCACCAAGTGTATTTGGTTCCATTTGTCCAGGGTTTCTGTCTCTGAGATGTTTGCCTCAACAGACACTACAATGGAGTTTAGCAGAACCTTGATCTTGGTGCTCAAGTAGCTACAAAGGTCAACATCTCATTCCAGAAAAAGTCAAAGTCAGAGTCAGCTTTATTTGTCAAATCTGCTATACATGCACAACATACAGCACAGATGAAATTTCAGTCCTCTCAGACCGACGATGCAGGCAGGCAATATAAAAAAAATAACATTTCAAGTATACAAAAAACATAAATAAATAGTGCACAGTTCCTAACTAAGTAAGATGAATTAGAAAGACAATAAAAATAAACAGACAACAGTCAGGGCACTTAAGGTTAATGGTGAGGTAATGTGCGGTGTAGTTGCAAATAACAGGGGAAAAGTGGAATGTGCAGGTTCCCTGGAAGTTCAGGTGGTGTTGAGTGGTGGGTGGGTGGATGCCCAAGAATGCTGAAGGGGAGGAAACAGTGTCCCATGGTAATCCACCGAACACACTGTTGACAGTTTTCATTGGGTCAAATACTTTTATATATACATTTGAACTGCTTTCACTGACACCAATATTTAGACGCACACAAGTAAACTGTCATTTCAACGGCTTTCTTCGCTTGCTCTTCAAATTTCAGCACTTGTCAATAGACCTTTTTCACAGCAGCCAATTTGACATGAAATAGTAGGGTAAACACAAGTGTTACTGAAGGGTACTCAACTGTTAATAAGGTTTCGTTCCAAACTGAGTTAGGGTGCTGCTATTGCGCAGGTGCAGCTTACTGGATGCTAACATGAAATGACACTGGAACCTTAATTAGTATCATTGCTAACACCTTTGTTCATGCTGTGAAAAGGGTCTAGTCAACTGCCCCCAACTGACTAAAGCTTTGTGGGGGTTTCTGAAATAAGCCTTAGAAAGCAAGCCTTGATTACAGAAAGAAACAGTACTGATTACATTGAAAAATGTGATGTGTATTTGTGGTTCAAATAGTGGTTGCTGGTAATGTATCTGTAACCCCAACAGACATATGATTTTATTGGTTTATATGATTTTTTTGCTTTCATGGGAGCTCAGCTCCCACTGGCTCCCACATAACTCTCATAATGACTGTGCAGAGCACTAAAGAAATTTTTATATTTTATAAAAAAGTATGGAAACCAATACATGCATGCATACCTGCAACGTAAAGAAACAAATTATATCTAAACTTGTACAGCATGCATTTTAAAATGGTCAGCTAAGACAAACTGGTATGCTCCCTGGTATGGAGTGGTGAGTTTCCCTTCAAAGGTTATACTCACATAACTTTTAATTTATTTTAAATTTGTCATGAAGGAAATCTGTTATTTGTAGAGAACATGAATGCTGGGATTGGAGTGTATTACACTAGAGGCTAAACTTTTAACATGCGTTTACACCCAACAGGAACTGTTAATTTTGTTCTGCATCTCTTTTATTTGAGTCACATTAGGAAGGGATCTCTTTACATCAAGTATAAAGAAGAGAAACATTACAGCCACTAAAATCTTCAGTTTACATAAGGGCACAAGTATTGTATTAAGAACGACTTGAAAAAACCTGAATCAATCTTTAAACCTTCTCAGTTAATTTGTCCCCTCATGAAGTGCATGCAGACATCAGACTGCAGTCAGGAAGAAAGTAAACTGTTCCTGACCAGCGCCATGGTTTCATCTGACCCAGACACCAGCCTCTGGCTGATCTCACCGGTGTGTTCACCTTTCATTGACATCAACCACCTGTGCCTCTACACTCAGAGCTCAGGAAGTCCTGATCCTCCACAAATCCAACAAATCCAAAGCAATCCGTGCCACATGAGGTGAGGTAGAGACATCTCATGGTTAGACGATTGGCTGTTACAGAGGACACACTGAACACCACTCCGACCTATATTCTCATCCAAGGAGCTTCCAAAGCAGCCCTGATCACCCAGCTGATCGACAGAATTAGGCCAGACTTTGGTGTCATGACCCCTCCATCTCCCACACTGATACAGTTATAGTTTACTCCAAACAACAGTGATTCAGTATATACCAAAAGTATGTAAACCCTCTGGATTTGGAATACATCTTCATTCATTGTTCTTTTTATAACCACGAGCCACCGTGCTGCCCTACATACGGTTATAGAGCTACAATACTATTAACATAAAATGTCATTTAAAGGCCAATTAGAATAGCCTGGTATAGCTACACGTTTTGATAAAGGCCGGTCACAATTAGAGGCCTGGTCTGGATTTCATGAAAATTCTTTGGATGTGTAAAACCTCTTAAAACCCCTTGAGTCGCCCGCTTCTCCACAATTTAATCAATTCCCAATTGATGTTATTCAATAGAAGTAATATTCATAGTAGTTTAAATAAACAATTCAATAGTATTCCCATCTTTGCTGAGCAATAGTTTTGTGCAAAAGGAATTAAAGGCCTGTCCCATATAGAGGCCTGTTCATAAATCAGGGGACCTGACTGATGTGAGTAATTACATGCCTATTAGCATTTTACCCATCGTCTCCGAATGTCTCGGAATGTGCTGCTGAACACTCATCTTAACAATAGCCCTGTGTGTCAGGGGAGTCACCAAATCTTCAAAAAAGGGGCACTAGGTCTTCATTCCTTTCTGTGAAGAAAACTACATTAAATTAATTGTTTTTAAAGCTGCAGTATTTTTAACAAAAACTTTACTTATTTACTGAAACTTTCACTATATCATGACAGTAGAACATGAGACAGATAATCTGTGAAAAATCAGGTTCCTCTGGCTCCTCCTAGAATCAACAATGCTGAAGAGCCTTTCTCTTTATTTGCTCTGATTGGTTGTTTTGGTTTAGGCCCAGTAGATTCTTGCAAATGCCAGAAGGAGCACTAGAACAAACTAGAGGATTATCTGTCTCATGTACTACTGTCAGGATACAGAAAACATGACAAAAAGATATTTTTATAGAAATAACCTACTGCAACTTTAAGATATGAACAGGGTAAGGGTACAGGGAAGAGCTGAACACAAGCTATATGCAGAGCCTTCACTCTGATAAACCATCTGAACCATGCAGACACACTGTAATAGGAGGAAACAAAAAGTAAACATTTTCTGTATGTAGGGGGCAGCTATAGCTGGTCAAAAGCACCATCTAGTGGTAAAAAGTAAAAGCACGAGAAAACTTTATAAAAATTTATTTACATTATTTTTGTTCTTCACCTATAAGCAAGTCACACTGAAACTACAACTACAACTAAAATGTTTAAATATACAGCGTAAAATAATCAGCTATTTGACCACAAAACACATACTGTACAGTCACAAGGAACTTTAACTGAACAAGCAATTGCAGTATCTCCATACTTCACCATTAAAGGGTCAGTTCACCATAATGCATGTCCACAAGTGCATGAAAGTGTGTAT